TTCACTTGATGCAACAAGAGATGTTCGAATTATTCTCAAATGGATTATAGTATTTTCAGATGCAGTGGAGAAAATGTCCTTCGTGTTGTAACATAACCTCAAATATACCGGTAATTCGTGTTTTCCGCACATTTAAGTTTCGAGAAATGATGGTTGTTGGTTTAAGTTTCGAGAAATGATGGTTGCTGGATTAGAAAATCAATCAGGTTTCGTCGGTTTGTGTAATTTACCTTTTGCGCTAGAAAAACCTTAAATCCTCCCTTTAAAAATATCTCATTGTCCTCCACTGCAACACACCTGACTCTCTTTTTTAATTGTATTCAACATTCTCTCTTTTGAAAAACTCCAAGAGGTTTCCAAATTTCGATACGTTATTCTTTCTTTAATGTAAGTGCTTTTTTTCTATATTTAACATTTGATTTTCACTGAAACACCTTGATTCTCTTTTTTTCAATTGTACCCAACATTATCTCATTTGAAAAACGCCAAGAGTTTTCCAAATTTGGAAACGTTATTCTTTCTTTAACTTAAGTTTTTTTCTTTTTTTTCATATGTAAAATTTGTTCCTCACTGCAATACACTTGATTGACTCTCTATTTTCAATTGTATCCAACGTTTTCTCTTTTGAAAAACGCCAAGAGTTTTCCAAATTTCGATACGTTATTCTTTCTTTAACGTAAGTGTTTTTTTCGATATTTAACATTTGTTCTTCACTGGAACTCACTTGACTCTCTTTTTTTCAATTGTATCCAACGTATGTATCTTTTGAAAAACGCCAACAGTTTTTCAAATTTCGATACGTTGTTCTTTCATTAACGTAAGTGTGTTTTTCTTTTTCTTCCATATGTAACATTTGTGTCCCACTCTCTCTTTTCAATTGCATCCAACGTTCTCTATTTTGAAAAATGCCAAGAGTTTTCTAAATTTCCATACGTTATTCTTTCTTTAACGGAAGTGTTTTTTTTTTCGATATTCGATATTTTTTTATGAAAAAATTGATTTTTTAAGAAAAAAATATTTTCATTTAAAAAAATGAATAGAAGATACAAAATTGATCCTTTAATTGATTTTTAGTAAAAAGTGACAATTTAAATCGTATAGATCACAATAAAACAAAAATCTCAACGGTTTGAACTTTTAAGGGTCATTGAAATACTTTGAGGTTAAAAAAAACGAAAATGTCCTTAGTCTGTCCATTATTTCAGGTTTAACGAAAAATCTTTAAATACTTATGACATTTTTTAGGTTTTTTTGAGCAAGTTTCTTGCATCAAAAAAATTGTTTATAAAAAAATATAAGAACGTTTTATAAGTAGAAGATAATAAGTTACAGCGTTTTGAAAATCGCCTGTATATTAAGGATTTTTTTATATCCTTTAATTTTTTGTGACTAGTTTCGAAATAACAATTTTTCTTCATTATTGACGTTTCTTTTTTAATTAGGTTTGCTAGTTTAAATATGTTAGCCACTCACGAACGGTATGACGTCACAACGTGTCTTCCATTCGTTTTTCCGAGCTTCATTTTCATTAACTATTTTGAGGTGGAAATAAAAAATCTGTTTTTTTTGCATCTTACCTAAGATGAGTACTTTCTGAATATGATTAACAATGAGTCCATTCTGCAAAAAATTTTTTATGCACCAATTTTTGCTGGCACCACAATCCTTTAAAAATCTTCGGTTTCTTTCAGTACCTTTTCAATATTTTGGAATTCCCGTTCTGCTTTCTCTATCGTCCAGTTTTGAAACAAATTGATAAAAACTGGATATTTGATTCACAATATTCGAAAACACGATGTAATATCACACTAAACGAATGCACTTGGTAAACAATGGTGGTCGTTCATTCCAGTAAACATTAGTTAACGTCCAAAATCTGTTGTATCACGTTTCAAGGATTGGTAAAAACAGCGAGCAGTAAAAATACATGAAAAGCAAATAATACCACTCGATGCATTTTAAAAAGATTGGCAGTCAGCTCACAGAGCTCACCTGTTTTGAAATAATTTCGAACGTATGCATAGTATTTACAATCAATACACCTGATGTACAGGGTGTTAACAAAAGAGTGTAAAATATTCCAGGAGGTAATAGTATGAACCAAAATAAGCAGTCTTAATAAACATGGGTCCGCAAAGTAACGGTTGCGGAGATATGGACCACTATTCGTTTTTCAAACATTTTATTTTATTAGGAATAAACCGACAAAGGAAGCTTTTAACAAACAAAAAACAAAGTTACAGAAGATGTTCAAAGTGCCCTCCGTCCATTTCCAAGCAGGCACGACATCTTCGTCTCAACGATATTCGAACTCTTTCGAAAACACCCTCCTTGGTTTGGATTTCTTGACACTTTTGATTAATCCGTAGCTGCAGCTCTTCCAGGCTATTTACAGGAGTACCATACACTAATGTCTTCAAATATCCCCAAACAAAGAAATCTAGAGGGTTCAGATCAGGCGATCTTGGAGGCCATAAAACAGGTCCGGCCCTTCCTACCCATCTATGTGGAAAAGTTTGGTGTAAATGCTCTCTAACGGCCATGGAAAAATGAGCTGGAGCACCATCATGCTGGAACCACATTTGTTGCCTCTGATTCAAAGGAATGTCTTCCAAAAACTCATACAGTGTGTTCTGCAGAAAGTTGAGGTAAGCAGCGCCTGTTAATCGGTTTGGTAAAACAACAGGACCTAGAAACCTGTCACCTACAATACCCATCCAAATGTTTAATGAAAAACGTGCCTGATGTCCAGATTCTATTAGAGCATGAGGATTTTCGTCGGCCCAAATATGCGTATTGTGAAAATTAAACACTCCATTTCTTGTGAACCCGGCCTCATCAGTAAAAAGAATGTTTGCAAGAAAACGAGGGTCTTCAGCATCATGACGTAGAAACCAGCGGCAAAAAACCAAACGTGCTTGATGATCATTTATTGGATTTAAGGCCTGTACTCGTTGCACATGGTATGGATAAAGCAGTTGCTCGTGAAGGATTCTCCAAACAAGAGGACCACTAATTCCTACCTCGGCTGATATTCTCCGCACACTCGTACCTGGATTCTGCTCTACCAGTGCTAGAATTTCTTCTTCTGCTCTAGGAGTGGATACCGACCTTGGTCTTCCGGATAAATGGCACTGTTTGCTCAAGGAACCGGTATCACGCAATCTTTGGTGAATTCTTCCAAACATGCGTTGTGAAGGAATCTGGCGATTTGGATAAGCGTCAACATAAAGACGTCGCGCTTCGGTGGCGTTCCCATTAGCACGACCATACATGAAATGCATGTCTGTTAATTCTGCGTTAGAGTAACCAGCCATAGCGAAAGAAAACTTGTGCACTGAGAACAACTGTCAAATACGTACTGTTTATTTCACTAAACATCAACCAACTATTATAAGAAAATACACAACGTTTTTGCAAAATAAAAAAAGGGGCTAAAAAACATAAAACATTCCATATCTCCGCAACCGTTACTTTGCGGACCCATGTTTATTGTGACTTTTCTGCTTATTTTGGTTCATACTATTACCTCCTTAAATATTTTACCCTCTTTTTTTAACACCCTGTATATCCCAGTTCATTGTCGGTAACACTATTTTAATGTTTTGTATTAAATGTTTGTCTTAATAAAGCAGTGGTGGGGTCGTTTATTATTTTATTTTTCAATCAGTGTATTGAATATAAATATGCTGTTCCCTCTGCCTGTCACTAGAGTGAGGGGTAGAGACATCAGGGCCTTTATTCTTGAATTATAGGGAGTAGAAGGAACGAGAGAAAGGGGGCGTGTCTCTACTAAAACTCATTAATCGGTATTCTTGAATGGTGTTCTATCGAGTAATGATAGAAGAATTGTTCCCTATTTCTTCTATTGATATTTTCGGGCGAACAGGCAGGGATCATTAAACCTAACCCTATATTTTTTGACATGTTTCACAAATTACGAATTCCGCAATCTGTCTGTAATCTCTAGTTACTGTTTTGTGGTGATATCCTTGAGAACTTTCGTATAATTTATGTTTACTTGAAGGATTGTACAGTACCCGAATAAAATAGTAATAAAATAAAATGGATATACTTAAAATAGTATTAAAATATTTGTAAGTTCTTCCCAGTTAGCCCTCATTGTTTCTCTAGTGTAGATATACACTGGTACATTTGTTTTTTACTCTCAATATAATCTATTAGAAGTTCTTTTTGTTTAGAACTTACTGGATTTAGCTTCGGTTTTTAATTGATTTCCATTTTATTTCTTTTTTAGACTGCACCTGACACTGACAATCAAATAACAATAATAAGTAGCACTTATTTCATAAATAGCTCATCACTAGTTTTCATTCTACCGCCTATTTACTGCTTTCTGATTGGTCGGTACATTTGACAACATTGTTCCTCGTTCTTCACTTTCATGGCTCGATCCCTTTGTGTCAAGAATACAGTATGAATTTTGTGATAGAACAGTAGTAGAGCGAAATGAGGGAACGTTCCCCAGGGAGCATTCTATTCTCTCACCGTCAAGAATCGAGCTCCAGATGACAGATGTTCTTGAGACAGTCAAAGAGAAGTGAAGTGTATGATAAAAAAATTGTGGCACGAAATTGTCACTAAATTGGATGGTATTTAGTTTCCAAAGCGACATCTATAGACACCTTAAAAATGTATGGATGGACATTGGTATTATGCGCAGAGGATTATAGTGATCTACATTCTACATCTAAATTTTAATAAATTTGGCATCTAGCATCATAAGTTATTTCTATGGTTGCAGAATATCCACAATCATTGAATATTCTGTGCTATTATGGTATCATTGACTATTATTTTATCAAATGGACAGTTTCTGTAGCTGGATAAACACGTTTATTTCCGTTATAAATAAAAATACAGTTTAGTACAGATATTTAAATTGGAACTACTAATCAAGCAGGCCCTCGATGATATCTTTATCGGTTGAGATAAAGCCGATGTTTCGTCAGCCTTATCAATTCTATTGTAGATATTCATTCCAGTTTTCATTTTGCACTCTAACAAAGTTCACGACACAAAATGAAGTTAATTATAATAACGGTTTTCGCTTTTATGTTGTTGTCTGGTGGATACACCAAACATACAAAAAGTAACGATGACATTTCCTTCTGTGTTTGTCCCATGATATATCGACCAGTATGCGCGTCTGACGGCAAGACCTACGGCAACCCTTGCGAGGTCGAGTGCGAAAAGAAGAAGGGGTCGAAGCTGAGCATCGTGACATACAGGGAGTGCGAAGGTATCAGTCTGCTGGAGTCTATTGCCAAGCGCTTCAAAAAGCGTTCCAAGAAAATGTAATAATAAAGATTGTACGTTAACTTTGTGCGAGCATATTTGTATGTAACAATAAAGTATTTTTGTAGGAATTAGTGTTTTTCATTTTATCCATATCTTTTGAAACCATTAAAAAAAGTTGAATTTATTTGATTAATCACGAAATAGTGCTCTGCATCAGAACTATATAGTTTTAGAAATGTAATAATAAAGTAATTTTTTTGTAACGGGAAAAAAGTTTGACATTTTATCTCTGTTGACAGGTAACAAAATGTCACTTTTTATGAAATTATTGCTGTTTTCCCCGGGAAAAAAGTGAGTACTTTTTTCCCGGATATATACAATATACATAAATAAAGGTAGATATTTAATTTTAGAATATTTTATTATATAGAAGTTACATTTCCTTTACATCAAAAGTACAATTATTAAATGTACATTGCATAAATGACATGTTTCTTAAACTATTCGGTATAACAGTCGAACTTTATTGTGTATTTTTTTTCTGTCGTAGACACAACAGCCGTTGATGTACCTGGTCGCAAATCGGATGTTATGTCAGCACTGCCACACGTTCTAAACACTTTATTAGCTATTTCTGTCCTGTGTGCTACCGATTCATCAATATATCCTTCAGCGACCGTTGATGACTTCCAACCGCCATGTTTCTTTAGTGTCATCAAGTCTCCCCCAGATTCAACTAAAAATGTAGCAGGTGACCTCCGAAATTAATGACCTGTATATGAGTTAGCATTGTCAAGTTGAAGAAAATTAGCTACTGTTTCAGGTACCTTATAAAACGGATTTTTACCCACAACCTGATTGATACATTTCCCATTGCGATATGCATAAAACAGGCGACGATCTTTTGCTGCTTCTGCAATCCCAAATACAACAACCTTGGCTATTAAATAAACTTCATCAGGAGCATTATTTAAAATGTATAATCGTAAATATCCCATTTTGTTTCAGAAATGTAATTAGTTTGAAATATTTTGAAATGTCTATATTATTATTGGATTTTAACATACTTTTAATCATTGAATAATTCGACCACACTGTTGATGGCTTTTGTTGTTGTGCCAGTTCCACAAAAAAAGCCAATAACACCGTCTCCGAAAAAGAACTGCATATCTTTTTCATCTTCCATTCCATAAATCTTGAATACGCGGTTTCGTAAATTTTCCGCGATTTAGCTGGCAATAATTTTTGTGACGCTACTTTCGCTGCTTCTACTAACTCCGGTGGAGTCAGAGAAAACTCGGAATCAGACATTTTTTAACTTTATATTATTCAAAATAACTACTAAACAACCACTAAGTTTGCAATTTTTAAATCAAATCACATAATTAAATTGACAGATATTTGATTACTTTAAAGGTTTCCTTAGCAACGCAGATGTAATTGTCGCTATAAGTATAACAGCCTACCAATTTAAAACATTAGTGACTAATATATTATAATAATGTTTTTTCAATATTAAATCGTCACAGAAAAAAATAGTGTATTGTACACGGGAAAAGAGTAGATTTTACCTCTCGGCTTTTTGTCTCCCTCCGCTTCGCGTCGGGAAACAACACAACCTCGAGCTAAAATCTAGTACTTTTTTCCCTTGTATAATAAATATCTATTTGTAGGAATTAGTGTTTTTCATTTTATCCGCATCGTTTGAAACCATTAAAAAAATTTAATTTATTTGATTAATCACGAAATAACGCTCTGCATCAGAACTACAATTTCCTCCTTTCAGTTTTTTTTTAGATGCCTGATATTTCCTCAGTTATTAACAAGCAAAGTGGTCCCTACAATTCTGTAGAAGTCCATTACTGTAGTGTAGAATACTGTCCAAAAGTGACTTATGTTGACTGACTTTTTATACTACAAAATTTACTTGCATGGAAAATGTATTTTTCTTGAAGCAACACATACCAACAAAATCTCAAACCAGAAGGCTGTACTTTTTTTCCGATTACGTCAGTTTTTCTAGATATCCTAACCTAAAAGTGAGAAAAACTGTTTGTTCACTATATTTGAGGTTATTTTACATCACGAGGTACTTCTCCCCACAAACTAATTATCGAATTCAAAGGTGCTACTATTTCCCTTTAAAACCCCTGAAGTTAAATTTACAAAATTCAAAATATTAGATGCAATAGGTGTAGCGGGTGGAAGAGAAAAAGATGTTGGAATTTAGAAGTGAAAAAGTGTTTGTCAAATACTAGGTACACAAAATTTTTAAAAGAAAATACGTTTTTGATAAAAAAAATCATCAACTATAACACTTATTCTTCAATTCTGAGATTGTTGAAGTCGTTGAATCCAAGTGTAGCGTTATAGTTTCAAAATTCAAAGCCAATATGGCGGATATAGTGATCCTAAGGATCGAAATTCCAAGCACAAAGAGCTCTAGTACAGCAGACTTCTGAACTCTGTAAAGTGCAATTTCCGAATACTGACGAATACGTCAAACTAATTTCCACAAAATAACTTCTTGGAAAGGAAAAGAGATATTCCAATGATTCTACATGGATTTAGAAGAAGTACTTTCAGAGTTTTGTGGGGTAAAATTGCCACGTGATATAACATAACCTCAAATGTGGCGAAACGCGGCTTATTTCTCACTTTTAGGTTAGGATATCTAAAAAACCTGAAGTGACAGAACAATTCTGGCGTTAGATTTAGATTAAGCGTATTGAAAAACTTCGAGAAAGTATAGATTTTGGTTTAGAGATCAATAATACCTTTTGTCCTCTTAGCCTTTCGCAGATCAACTGTGACGTCACACCACTCGACTGGCTCGACCCGTTGGCACTGTGCGTTTAAATTAGAGAAGATGAATCAAACTAAATATAAGTGTTGATATTGCCAAAAAGGAATTGTTGAAGCCCGTGGACGTTTCGAAAAGCAAATATTTTGAAAAACTTTTTCCGCTGGATTTCTCATGATTTCTTAAATGTAGCCAACGATACAAGTATTTGACTTTCAGATCCTGAAACTAGAAGTTTCAATTTGTTTCTTTTTTTATTAGTCTACGACTATTTTCGCGAAGTTAAGAGTCTTTTGAAAATCGTCTAAAAATTTAGGAATTTTTTTATCCTTTAACTTTTGGCACTAGTTCAGAGAACGTTTCGAAAAATAAAGTTTTTTTTTTGTTATTAAAATTTGTAATGGCGTTTCCCTTTTTTAAGACCCAACCAAGTAAGTGGGCTAGTCGCTAACAGGTGGTATGACGTCACAACGTGTCTTCCAATCGTTTTCCTGGGCGTCGTTTTCACCGTTTTGACGGGGAAATTGTTGGAACAAAAATCTGTTTTTTTGCAGATCATTTAACTCTGATGTGTAGGTACTTTTTATATTTTGTAACAATTTTTTGGATGCACCAATCTTTGGTAGAATCATAATCCTTTGACAATCTTCTGTTTCTTTCTGTACCTTCTTAGTATTTCCGAATCAACGTTGCATCGTGCTTTCTCTGTCATCCAATTTTGAAACAAATTGATAAAAACTGGGTATTCCATTCACTATATTCGAAAACGCGATGTAATTTTACGCTAAGCGAATGCATTTGATAAACAATGTACGTCGTTCATTTCAGTAAACATTAGTTAACGTCCAATACCTGTTGTGTCATGTTTCAAAAGCTGGTAAAACAAGCGAGCAGTAAAAAATGCACGAAAAACAAATACCACTCGATGCATTTTAAAGTGATTGGCATTTCGCGCTCAGCGCTCGTCTGTTTTGAAATGTTTCGAATGTATGCATAGTAAAATCAATATACCTGATGTGTATCCTAGTTCATTGTCTGTAAGGTGTATTTTGGTAGACTAAACACTATTTTTAACGTTTTATATTAAATGTTTGTCTTACCAAATCAGTGGTGGCGTCGTTCGTTATTGATTGCCTGTGCCAGTCTTGAAAGAAATAGTATATGATGATCTATCCTCAAACAATGATACAATATATTTTTAAAATTTCATTTGTCAATAAAGGGCATGTTTGAATATAGCCCTTTTAAATAGTCTATATTCTGTAATGGATGTTTCTGCTTTGATTAACGTTTATTTAAAGCTATTAAATATCTTTTATTCATAATCACCTTATAAATCAGACATTTATCCACACATATATGCGTCTAAAGTGATACTTTATCCACTAGTGCTATAAAGTAACTTTATTTCACTAGAAGAATAATGAAAAAATAATAAACCTATCATAAATCAAATATTCCAAATTAGAGAACCCAAGTTCCGTAATTGCGTAAATTGGAATCACATGGACTATTCCTAAATTAACAATTTGATATAATGATAAAAGAAAAAATACAAAGAGTGTTGGAACAAAATATCCTGCATTTTTTTCCAACACTCTGAAAACATAATATGGAAAGTTTTATCTGGTACATATCAGGAGTTACCAGGAAATATATTAATATATAGTTCATGCCTCATCAATTTCTAATACTGTCTGTTGTCAACAGTAGACGTTGAGCGGTCATTTTCCCTACACAATTTGATATTAAGTGATAAACGTTGCCATTTCACTAAAGAAAACTTAGAAAAGCACGTAGTAATATGTTTTAACTCCTTCCAATATGCCACGGAAGCCTTGTCTCAACACTTAGGTTTATCGGGTAAGTGGTGTAATTTAAATTTATATAAGTATTTTATCCTCTACTTAGCCTTGCTCTTTGGTATTATGTTGCAACATATTTTCTGTAAACATATATAATATTTTCATTCGTAATCTGACTACGGTCCTGTTAAACTCCACGCCCCACTAAGCCTAATCATTTTAATATTTTTTATTTTCTTCAATGAAAACATTTATTTAGTTTTTTTTTGTATTAATTTATTTATATTTCTCTGAGAAGTAAATACTTGTGCAAATCTTGAAAAATGTCCTTTCACCATCTAATTGGTCGTTCGAAATGCTACGGATATTGCTTGAAACGATTTTTTCTAGTTATTCACAAAAAAACGAGCTTGACCTCTGAAAGACCTACAAAAACATATTGCAAAAGTTTTCTGAACGCATATTCACGTAATATTTGGTGCTGGTATAAAAGTAGGATGTCCCAAATGGAAATTGGGAA